TTTTGAGTTTTTGAAAAATTCAAAAGAAGTTATTTTAACTACTTAAACTCACAAATACAACTGTTTGCAAGTTGCTGGAATTGAGCAAACCAAAGGATTGAGAGATCTTTCCAAAACTTTACATTTGTGTAATTATTGAAAAAACAAAAAAAAAAATACATCGAAATGAACGTTGCGTCATATTAAAGAGAACAATTGGCACTGTGCGTTCGAAATGTTTTAAGAAAAAAATGGAGCAGTTCTGTGAAAATGGCGTTTGAGCGTTTCTGGAAATGTAGAATTATGACCTAGTTTTCTCAGAGAACAGTTGAGTTTTCAAGAAACGTTATGTGACATTATTTAAAGCACATGTACTCATAAATACAATAATTGCCGCTAATATAAATATTGACGATATGAGAGACTAGACAAAAAATATTTTTGTAATTTTTGAAAAAACAAAAGAATTGTGAAATATGGTGTTTATGACCTCTAATAGAGTACACATAGCACTATTCCCACAAAAAGTTGAAAGAAAAAAATTGGAGCAGTTTTTGAGAAAATCATTTTATTTTTGTTTGTAATTTTTTACAATTGCACGCAATATTGCGCGCAACACTACTAATTTTTTAAAATGTGCATTACCTTAATGAAAGAATATAAATATGGACAACAAATTTTGGTAGAATAAGAAATTTCTCTCTTAAATTTTGTTGCAGAAAAACCCGGAAAAAATTCAAAGTTTTGAAATTTTCAAAAATTTTGAGTTGACAGTGAAAATTGGACCTATGCCACATTTTCTTATAAGAAATTTAAAGACACAATTTCGAGCCATTTATGAGAAAATTTTGAAAATGTTCCAGGGGCTTAATGTAAAGTACCCGCGAAAACTAATGATTTTCAAAATCGCAGTTCTTCGACTTAGGCCAAATGGACAGCGGTTTCCTCAATTTTAAAAAAGTCGTTCACATGGTTTAGACGCTAGTACATACACCTGACAGGCAGACGGACGGAAGGACGGATGGAGAAATGGTCGGACGGACGGACGTTTTGGAAAAAAACAACAATAAAAACAACATTTTTTCGGTATCAGGGGATACCAAAACGCATATTGCCGTTGAAATCTCGAAATCGATTTTCCGAAGCATTACATAACTTTTCCTATACTGCGTATTTACTCCGTATATACTCCGTAAAGTAAAAAATTATGGCAGCGGATAAAAAGCTGAAGTGTTTAGTTAAACGTGTAGCTGCTACCATAATATTTTATAAATTAGAACAAAAAGAATTGATAGCAAATGGTTAGATGTGAGTTGTGGTTAGAGATCATGAACCAGATAGTTCTCACAACAAAATAAATAATCTAAAAACACCTGACTTTTTCATGAACCCCTCTTCAAGTGTCATCTTACTTTCAGGGATGTGTTGCAAGGAACTACGGTTTTTGTAGTTGGGGTATGTAAATAATAATAATAATAATAATAATAATAATAATAATAATAATAATAATGAGCGATGAGACATTAGATGTTTTCACAGAGTCTCATTTTGCGTCATTTCGAGATATAGCAATTAATAATTATTAAATCTGCTACAGAGCCTACCCAGAAAAAAATTACCGCGCTACGTCACTGCTTCTGGTTAGGGAATTACCGGCAGAGGTGTATCAAACTGTTTTAACAAAAAGTTACGATTATTTTTTGTGCGGTTCTAATAAGTAAAACAGGATATTGAGAGTTTTGTTATCAATTCATGTTTCTTAACATGACTCTAGTATTCATTTTATATATTATCTCCCATGTAAATATACTAAATTAGTTAATTGCTATTACTACCGCCTCCATAACTGTCCATGCCCAAAATAACAAGATAAAAATGAACATCTATATTATGATTTTTGTACAATGTATATTAAAATAATTTGTACAAACACAATAATACTTCAAGCAGGTACAAATATGTAATGATCAAATGACGAAGAAAATATCTTCCTTTGTCATATTTAATTTTCAAATGAAGATTCCTTGACGAATTACAGCTTGCTGACTTCTGCTTCATTATTCAGACCTGAAACGCATGGAGATATGTGTAGTAACTTAGTTTAGGCAGATTTCATATTCGTGCAGTATAATTAAACTATTGTACAATATTTATTACAACAATTATATGTAATGAATTGTCACATTTTTATCGCTTGCATATCTTTATTCAACACACACTTTTCACTCCTTTATTTATTTGTTTATTTATATTTTAATATTTGGATGATACGGAATTCAACTTAAACATTTTGGCACTCAACTATTTATTATCAACTACTTTTAGTAGTGGTTCAGAGAGGAACTAGTGGTGTCACAGAATGGCACAGACTTATTAGTTTTCTATTTTTTCGGTCTCGGCTAGCTAGTCGGACTTCCACATACTCTTGCCAGCTGCCATGTATCGCCGCCCAAACTACATTTTTTTCGAACTTCTCTTAAATTTTCGGTTTTCTAATTGTAGAGCGGAAATTTTATTTTAAGATTATTAAAGAACAGTAAAACCTCGTCCTGAATGGCAATTTCCTTAGAAAAATATGGACCTGTTTTTAAAAACTGGCGTTTAAACGCTACTATAAATTCCAAATTTGAAGTTATTTTTCCCTGAGTTTTTTAGTTTTCAAAAACCTTCATTTGTAGTCACTTTAACTACTTTAACTCATTTAACTCATATATACAATAATGTTTACAATTTTCAGAAAAAGGCGTTTGAACGTTTCTGGAAATACGGAATTTTGAGCTAGTTTTAACAGAAAACAGTTGAGTTTTCGAAAAATTTATATGGCTTTATGTAAAGCCATTATGTAATGTGAAAAATTGTTGCTAATGTAAATATTAACGACGTGAGAGACAAGTAAAAAAATATTTTTTGAGAAAATCAACAAAGAATAGAGCAATATAGTGTATATCATCTTAGAGAGTACATTTAGCACTATCCCTACCAAAAGTGTAAAGAAAACATTTGGGGCCGTTTTTGAGAAAATATTGCTTTTGTATTTATTGAAATTGCAGACATTGCACTAATTACACGCAATATTGTGCGGAAACTACAAAAATTTTCACAATATTTCAGAGTTTAATGAAATTATGGACAACAAATTTAATGTGAAAGAAAAATCTCTATTTTGAAATGTTCCAGGGTTGCATGTAAAGTACCGCCAAAACTAATGATGATTTTCAAATTTGCAGAGCATCGACTCAGGCCAAATGGACAGTTTTTTTCAATTTGAATAAAAAGCCCTTAGCATATACGTAACGTATACGGGAAAGTAATAATGGAGCCAAGAATAAAAGAGTCAAACCAAAACACCTTCAACAATTAAAGTTTTCATTGAAAAAATACAGTTGTATCAAACAAGACTCAGTAAAACTCAACCCTTCAATTGTTAAAAGATTTTAGTATATGGGTTAAATGTCAGTAGGTATTATATCCTATATTACTGAGAAATCAGCAGCACTTGTATTGTAAGCAGTTCCAATTCTGTTATCGTAATTTTGGATGTAAATGTTTGTGTCACTCTTGATCGGAAAGTGAAACGTCCATTGATTACAATTATTTTTACAGATTTCTAGCCATTTGTTAGTAATTTATCTTATTTTTCCTATTTTCAAAAAATATTTAATTCTTTTATTATAATGTATTACTCAATTTTCAAAATAATTTATCGACACTAGTAATGCTGCACAAACTTTTTCACATATTTTCTAACTTGCAATTTGTTTAAGCATCTTTTGCTCTATCCCTGGAAAAAATTATGAACAAATTTAGAGCCATTTGATATTATTTACAAAATGCATTAATTTCATACAGAAATTACGAAAAAACTACACTTTTTTTTAAAATATACTCGACGCTTTTTTCAAGATTTAATTTTTTAAACAGATTTTTTGTAAAATAATAATCTCTATCAATATTGTACTTCTGCGATGTTAATATGTTTGCAATTTTTGAGAATTGCAAGAGCAGTAAATGGGACTAGTGTCTTTCCCGCCCTTTGAAACATACTAGGAAAAAAGTTAAAGATAATAGTGGAGCCGTCCCTGAAACAATTGTTTAAAATTTGCTTCTATTTCAAGAATTAATACGTGTATACTATTTATATACTTAAAAAATTGTTCAGGAACCATCTTCGAACAAAGCAATTTACTATAAAAAAATCTCTATCTTTAATACTGCAGTTGTAGAAAGACAGAAAAATTATTTAACTCCTACAGTTTACGAAATATTAATGATTTTACCGCAAATGAGACCTGCGCAGTTCTTTTGAGCGTTTTTACTTCCTCCACGGGCAAAGCCTAATCAAAATTTTTTGAGTTATTTTTGAGAAAATTTTGAAAATATTATTGAGACTTGATGTTTTGGGGTAGTTGTTTAAGGGTTGTATGGGTTCATTCAAGAAATGTGTACACCTTCGGGAGGAAATAATAATTATTCCCATTATCAGCACATTTGAAAAAAAATCGTACGAAAGATGAGGGACAGAAAATAATTGGAAAGAGTATGTACTAATAAAAGTGTTTGATTTGAAGACATGTTGGTAGAACATGCCCGATACACTGCGGAGCGAGTCGGCAGAAAATCGATGTCGATGTTTGATATCCATGTCGATGTAAGATGGCATCATGCGCAATTTCTTGGCTTCACTACAACCCTCGCGCCAAGCATAAGGATTGCCAATCTGTATATTTAAGCGCGAGTTTTCTTGACCCCCAAATATCTACCCCATTCATTTACCAACATTAGTTGAAATAAAAATAAATGATAGCAAATAACGTTGCTGACAGAACCTGGTAACCAGAATTGTTCACTCCCGTGTAATATTATTTTGCATCGAAAACCGAGCTACAGATTTGATATAATAGTCCTGTCGTCAAAATATTCCCCTCAACCACTCTTCTCGCATCCACCGAAAAGAGGGTTCAAGAAATGCGGACGCGCGGACAATAGTACGCATCCGAGGTCTCACCTCTGAGGATGTCCACCAGCTCGGCAGGGTTGTGCGCGAGGAGCGGCGGGGGCGCGGGGGCGGCGGCGGCGGCGACGGCGGCGGCGACGCAGGACCGCGCGTTGGCCAGCACGAGGAGCGGCGCCGGGGCGGGGGCGCAACGCAGCTCGGCCGCCAGCGCCGCCAGCCCCAGCGCGGCGGAGAAATCGGCGCGCGCCGCGTGCGCCAGGTCGAGCACGGCCGCCGCGGGCCGCTCCCCGGCCGCCGCCGCCCGCGCCAGCGCGCGCACCACCGCGCCGCGCACGTGGTCCACGCACGGGAAGCTCAGGCCGCCCGCCGGCGCCACCAGCACGTAGCTGCCCGCGCCCTCGCACTGCCACACACGCATACACAATCAAAGCTGTGGCTCAGTGGCATGTTCAGAGACAACAAATATAAGTACGTAGTTGACACTACTTCAATATACTAACGACTCTCATAGGTAACCTTCACAACTACGTGGCTCAAGGAATGGTGAATTCCGGAGAAATGTCTCAGTGCTCAAGACTGGAAATTCGTATTTCTGAAGGAACACGTAGGCAGCTACCCGTTGCAACTCGCCTTTACCTTCTTAAGCGTTAACTTGTCAACGTTACGTGCGTTCACCGACAGAAAGAAAAAGTAAAAAAAAAAAAAATGCTAAAGAAGCAAAATATGTCAGAGAGACTGTCTGAAATGTTAGTCTCCAGTTAACCGCAAATAAATTTTCCATTCCAAAAAACGTATTATACCTTAAATACGAAGTTTACATCTCATAAGTAAACTTGCCGCCATTCAAATTAGAAAATTCGCACGCACCTGATGTGATGTCATGAAGGTTCCAAAAAAAATAATTCCACAATAGCATTCGACTGACCGGGCAACACCGCATGGTTCTCAATGGTTTCGACTTTCTTCCACAGTCTTCTTCAGGGCAAATCAAACACGTAAGTCTGGACGTGTAAATCTTAATACTTTCCTACAATGGCGCCTCGACGAAATACGTAAAAAAGGACTTTAATATTTTCTTTTTATAAAATTAGATTTTGTTATCGACAATCTGATTAAAGTTGAAACGATTCGTGTTACGCTGCAGTATAGTATTATCAGCTTTCAGCACTGTATATGCTTTCATCTCACCTTCCCCTTCAAGAACATTCTAGGATCTGGCTGCAAATTGTACAAATCAGTTCGTCCGGCTGAGAGGAGTTGAATGCGATATTGATTCACCTCTATAAACAAGTGATGCGACTCGATGTCGATGTTTTCAAAACATCCAAATTTTTGTACAAACATCGATGTATTTAATACCGATTTATTGACGCTGATGTTCATTAACATGGATGTTTTGAGCTCGATGCTTTTACATGGTTGATATTTTAATTCGAATGCAACAAAAACTTCAATAATGTTCGCATATCCATATGGTAATTTTAACATTCTTCGGATCAAAGTCACCAAAAGATTAAAAAAAATAGTAGAATTTTTGCTAATAAATGTAGTTATTGTTTATATTTTCCAATAAAGTATAGAATTCAATAATTGTTATGTGTTTTTTACTCTGTTATGTTAGCTAATCCTCAATTCAAAATTAATAAACACAGCCACTGTAACACGAAATGCTGCTCCTTTCCCCCGGGTGTGAACACTGATGATAGAGATTGATAACCTTTCTTTTTCCGAACATCGAAGCAAAAGTAATTCGAATATCACTTTTTAAAATTTCAACATCGATGTGTCTGAACATTAACATTTTGTGGTCGATGTTGCATCCAAACTGCAATGGCCTAGGAAGCGGTACCGCTAAAACACGTCCTAGGTGTTTAAAACCCACACAGAATATAATCGTTTGAGATTCTCTTTGGAAAACGCATACATCTGCAAATGCATTCGTATTAGAAGAGAGCACCGACGCTGCCGGTCGGGGGGGGGGGGGGGAGGGGCTTACCTGCAGGGTACGCGCGGTGATGCGCGGGCGCGCCGTGAAGAAGAGCAGCAGGGCGACGTCGACGGCGACGCCCGCCAGCAGCCCCTGCGCCACGCCCAGCGCCAGCGACGCCACGAACGTCGCGCCCAGCGGCAGCAGGTCCCACCCTGTCACACGCACGCGCCGCTCGCAACCCCTCCTTCGCTCGCACCCCGCCGCTAGTCAGTTCTTTTGTCGTTCGCACTCACTCACTCCTTCACCTCCCTCACTCGCTCACTTGCTCCCTCCTTCACCCTCTCACACTCACTCTCCCCTCCCCACTCCCTCACTCACTCTCTCCTTCGCCCTCCCAAACTCACTCGTTTTTCCGCACTACCTCACTCACCCTTTTGCACTTACTCGAATTCGCTCCCGCTCATGCATTTATAATAGTCCTTTAATACAACAACAACAATAATAATAATAATAATAATAATAATAATAATAATAATAAGAAGAAGAAGAAGAAGAAGAAGAAGAAATAAGAAATATAATAATAATAATAATAATAATAAGAAGAAGAAGAAGAAGAAGAAGAAATAAGAATAATAATAATAATAATAATAATAATAATAATAATAATAATAATAATAATAATAATAATTTATTTGTGCATAGCAATAAGGACTAGATAAGACAGGAGATGACAGTGTTGAAATATTTGAAGAAATTAAGAACTACTAGAACAATACAAAATACTTGTATTTATTGATATTAAAATCATTGATTTAAAATAATACTTACTTACTCTAGGAAATAGTTTCCTGTAACTGATGAAAATAGCGACAGTTATAACAGTTATAAATTCCGATGTGATAAATTTTGTCTCACTGTCATTCTCTTTCAAGTACTAAACTATACTGGAATTAATATTATTTGGGAGATTGCTCGCTGGTTAATCTGGTCCTGGGATGTAAAAAATTAAAATACTGCGTTTATTTATTTATTTCAATTTAGTGAAGTTCAAGTTAAGACAATGTTTCTAAATAATAACAATTTTTTAAATTTAAATATTGAGTACTTTTTTTAACAGAACTATGATTACTTTCGATGGCTAGTAATAACTAAACAAATTGTGTTTGTTTTCTTTAGTTTTCGTGAGGTCTGTGTTTAACTGCGGCTCAAAACAGTGCCGTATTAATGCAAAGAGCCAGAAGGGCTCGGACCCAGGGCCCGCAATGTTCAAAGTCCTCCAAGAGTTCTAAAAAACTATTTAATACTAACTTTTCAAAAAAATAAAATAGAAACCCGGATAAGAATGTGGTGTAAACCGCATTTCAGTCTATATCAACACATGAACGCTGATAACAAATCACGCTTACAACGATGGGCGCTACCAATAATGGGTACATATTTTCTTATCAATTCTTCCTAAAATCTACATATTTGCCATAAATGGAAGGTGGTCCGTAGTTGGTGTGAACCTCCATATATTTAATTCATTTCAAACTGAAAATACGATAAACTACTCTTTTTTAAAAAGAAAAGTATGACCTTTTGTGAAGAACTAATTCTGTTGAACAGAAATTGTCTGAGGCAAAAATCTCTATCTTCAATTTTGTAGTTTATTTTTTTAATATTAAAAAAAGAGCAATACCTGAAAATATGACTTCCACCATATTTTTATCTGAAGAGTTAATGGTGTTCAACAGACTTTGTCTTAAATATATCGATCGAAGTTTTAATTTTGTTTCCAATTTTCGAAAAATCTGGGGTCAACGAAAACGATACCTTATTTTTCTCTTAAACGTCCTTTGTTCTATTTAACAACAAAATTCAATTTAAAAAAAATTGGAGCCATTTTTTTAAAATTTTGATAATGTTCCAGGGGCTTCGTGTAAAGTACTCCCCTCCCAAATTAAAATATCGATTTTAAATTATAAGGTTCAATTTCAGTCATCAGTTATAACCATTGGGAAAAATCATTTTTGAGAAAAAATTGCTGATCAGTTTATGAGCTAGCGTTGTGCAGAAATGGACCGACAGACAGACGTTTTGCCGTCAATCGATTTTTCGTTTTAAGTACGGACAAAACACTATACTAACTAACTAACTATACTAACTAACAGGATTTATCGACTTTTTTCCTTACCAGTGCCCGGCAATAAGAGTTTTTGTGTTGAAAATTCATCGTTTTCTGGCACACGATTACAATACTTTTTCTTCTTACGTTAGTAAGTGCGAGAAAGTAAAAATGAACATAAATGGATATGTCGCGCACCATTGGATAATATCTATAATATGGAATGTTGCTGGTTGATGCGAGAATATCACTCAGTGATGAAAAGATTATATTTTTAGCTTATCCTGTCTTTAAGTTTTTATATATTTTGATTAAATTTGAGAATTTAATTATTTTGAATAATAAAATTTTGAATTATTTTGAAACACAACGAAATACTTTTAAAAATTACAAAATACCATGTAATTGATAGGATTTTGTTTATATTTCAGCATCGAAATTGGGTGAGGGAGATTGATGAAAGTAAGTATAGGAGGGCCCCCTAGTCCTAGGGGCCTCGAAATCTATCAAAACGACCCTAGCTCAAAGTTTATGGCTTAGACTGTTGTGCTTCTCCACTGGGCAGTGCCAAATTCCTTCGCCTCCGCATGAACAAAACGAAAAGAGCTTAAGGAAAACTTTCCTCTGACCTTTTCCTCTAGACCCCCTGACCTATTTAGTATTCAACATTCTTTTCTTCACTACTGCTTGTGAACAACGAGTGTAAAAGCTTGTGCCTTTTCCCTGTGGAAATATTCAGATGGAAACGGAATTTAAATGCTTTGTAGTGAAAGAGAAGGAAATTTATAACACAGGTCTACATGGGTTTTCCTTTTTTGATTTTGACACTTGTTTTATACTAAGTTGGTCACCTAAATCCAGTAATGCTCTTACTTTTGTTCTATCACAACACAATTTTTAATAATTTCAATAATTGTGTTCAAAAAGATATTGAAAATATACACATTATCTTCAATAAGTTAAAAACGCAAATATATATTATTCATAATAGTCAGTTGATTATATTAATTCATTATGTATCATTTTGTGAAAGAACACAGTCAGATGGCAGCACGTTACAGTATTATGATTACATGTATTCACAGCTCCATGCTTATAATAGTAGACTGTGTAAATGTAAAATCAACCAGTGTTGACTAAGAAATTCTAATTAATCTCAAGCAGAGTGTTTTGAAGGGCTAGTTCGTTTAAATATTTGTTGTGCTAAAACCATGCAAAGAAAGTATGAAAAATACATTTTGTTATATTTATGGACGGTTTATGATTGCAAAACAAAGACAGAATATAACCTCATTTGTTAAAAGTGTTCATAACGCTTATTTTGGAATGAAACTGGGTGAACAGGAGAAGCCGTGGGCTCATGAAGTGAGCAGGGTTTTTGTTGCAGAGTTAAGAAACTGGTCGAAGGGAAGATGAAGGCACTGAGTTTTGGGGTCTATGGTGTGGCGCGAGCTAAAGACCCATATAAACGTAATTTTTGAATTTTCAAAGTAAAAGGATTGAATACAAATAAGAGACACCGAATCGTTTATCATGATTTGGAGTCTGCTAGAAGGTCTGTCCCACACTGACGTTCTTATACATTAACCTCCTTCTAACCTCCAAGTACCGCAGTCAGATTCAAGTTTAACGCCAGGCGAGTCAGCTGAAGAATCTAATTGGACAAGAAACGAACACAAACCCAAATCTTTATCACAAACAGAACTGAACAATTTAGTCAGGCATTTACATTCTTCAAAAGATGCTTTTGAAGCAGTTTAGTTTCACGTCAGAAATAAAACACCTAGATCTAGGATCGTATGTTACAGTTTACAGACATAGAGAGAAAGACTTTGTAAGTTATTAATCAGGAAAACTCCTTAAATACATTGCATTCACATTCCAAACCTCATTATTAAGTTAGGAAAGTATAAAACAGATGGATGGAGACTTTTCATTGCATAAAACATTAATTTTAAAAGGGTGTAAAGATTGGTAACACTTAAGCATTGAATTGAATTGAATTTGCCTCATTTTACGTGGCGAGACTGTTTCAGTCACACATTCCATCCATCTTAAGGAGACATTTGACAATCTTAAATTGCTACTCGAAGAGGTAAAGTATTAGGGATATAAATGGATGATATGTTGTGATTTAAAGGTTTTGTGTATGTTGTTAGAACAACAACAAGGTTACACCAAGAACCAATATCACATTTGTGAATGGGACAGCCAAGATAGAAAGAATCATTGGACAACACAAGAATGGTCTCGAAAAAACACACTGATTCCAATTTTCAACAACATTATAAAGAAAAACATAGTGGATTCTGAAAAAAGTCTGTTACTTCCCTTACACATTAAATTGGGATTAATGAAGCAATTTTCTAAGGCACTGGATAAGAATGGAAGTTGCTTTAAGTATCTAATCAACCAATATCCCACTCTCTCAGAAGGAAAAGAGTGCAGATCAGAGAACTAGCAAGCTGTGTGTAACATCTCCGGAAAGGGAAGCTTAGAAGATGTATTTCTTAAGTCCCTGGGAAATTATGAAGATCCAAACTATGAGTATTATGTAAATAATATGCTGAAAAATATGAAGCCTTACGTTGTAACATTCCCATCTAGACTACTTTCCAGAAATCCTGGGAGCAGTGAGTGACGAACAGGGTAAGAGGTTTCACCAAAATATTAAAGACATTGAAAGGAGCTACCAAGGGCGATGGAATACGTCAATGATCGCTGATTACTGTTGGTTACTGCGACGAGATGATCCTATCAGAGTGCCCAAGAGAGCAAGTGGAACAAGAAGATTTTTGTCTAAGCGACAACGGTATTGACTGCTCATACGCGTAAAAACAGTGATTTTAACAGTAATGTTCGTAAGTTACTGTATTTAATTTCCATTTTCTTAAATCTGGTATAAAAATAATATGAAATAAACTGTTTTCCAGTTCTCAATCTTGGGTTGATCAAACAATGTTTTTAGATTTTCAAATTAAAAACATTATAAAGATTTTTAATGTTTTTTAAAAAAAATACTGATGTGATACGGGATAATGGAAGTCATTTCTGCAATTATTTCACTTTAAATATATGAAATCAGTTATTATAACTACAAAATATGATAAAAATTAAATTGTTTGCTAAGGATATCTAAAAAAGTAGAAGTCGCATTGTAAAAACAATGCCAAATCTACAGTCAACAATAATTTACAATCTGTTGTTAGAGTGTAATTTTGGAAGGTTTACCTAACCCAATTCGCTTTCTTCCCTCCCAATTCAGACCCCTCTTCAACCAAGAGCAGTTTACACACTATTTTTCTTTGAAATTCATATAAGCAGTGACACTACTCACGTGATGTGCGCCACATTGGAGCAAGGCTTCGAAAGTCCGCCATAAAAATTACGGCCGAGACTACAACCGCTGCCAGAGCGGCCCGTGGAATGTAGATGAAATACTGCGTTAGGAACGCCAATGACAGAGCCACCAGCCCCGCTGCGAAATTAAGGAGAGCGATTAATTACCGCAATGTCACTTTAGGAAACATAAGCGCACACAAAACATCTCTGGGCAAGAAAAACCGTGGACGTAAAGCAAGTGAAGAGAACATAACTTTTCCATAAACAAGATTGAGATTCTCTCATGAAATTTTAGATAAACATTTAAATGTACTCTGATTAGGTCTTTTTATACCTAGATAATTTGATTTAGGTTCACCGCTCATTTTTTTACGAAAAATAATTGAGGAATAAGAAATGATTTTAAAATAAATAATTGAGCTTTATTAGTCTTGGTAAAAGTAACGATTTCCTTGACATTTAGTGGATTGGAAGCATTCTCTGGTTCAAGGATAATTACTTTCGGAGGTTTTGGAGGGAAGGGCCGCTGGTTCGAGCCTGTCTCGTGGATAATTATTCGTGACTGTTGTTGCCGAAAACTATTGAAAGTTTCATAAACTTAATTGGAAATCATTTGATGCAATTCTACTCACATACACTGTCTGTTAAGTTTCGAAATAAATAGAAAGTGTCTGCATGTCATTTTCATATTTGGAAATTTCAAACAAATATCAACTCTCTTGTTCTTTTTTAAAACGTATGCCACATCAAACCAATTGTTCAATACAATGTGCAAATCAATATAATATTGTTGAGCGTTTAGATATATTGTGAAAAAGTATGTGCATCACTAGTTTTCTTTTAATTTCTTTTGAAGTACTAGTGCCATCACTGTCTGTAAAAATAATATTTTTGACGAAAATGTAGTACGACGAAACAAGTAGGTACTAAACCTGATTTTGATTTCTTCGACCAAATCTCAACTTCGAGCCTATATAATATCTGCCCAAATAGATTTGAACCTGAAAGTTTACCCAAATACATTTGAGTAAAGTACATTTTTCTTTAATTAAATATGACATTAATTTGCGTCAAACTTTGATTCAAACCATGGAAATTTGTAGCAAAATTCTAATACTCTTCTTAAGAAATACGCAGCGCTATATAATTTAAATTTATTTATGCAAATTAAATGTTCTAAAAGTTATTAAGAGGGCCAGCATTTTGCATCTACATCTCCTAGTGACAAAGCGAGAGAAAGGAAAGAAACTATGTCACACTTAGTGCAAACGTTTGTTACTGAGGCAAAATTGGAGCCTGAAACAAATCCATTTTTACTAGAAATGGGTGATGCTTTACCCTACATCGTACATATTTGGCTATTTGCTAGTGCATGTTTGCATGCATATTTTAGCATAGTAAAAGTACATGGAACAGCTGTTTCTATACATAACGTATTTTCATTGGAATTTTGGTTAGCATGTTCAAGTAAAATGTGTTCGTAATTTACATCTGTATCTTATTTTCACATTTAATAATGCCTTCCTTAATTCGAATGCAATATGAGTCTTAGTTAGAAAAAGTTAGCGTTAGTCTGAGTTTGATTTTGTTTGGTTTCATTTGAACGTGATGGGTCGCGATTTGAATGTGTTCTCTATGTGATCGTGTGTATGTATTTGAAACACGAGAATTTAAATGATTCAAACCTTGAAAAGACGTATTGCAAACTTTATGCTACATTTACATTCAGATATTTTTTCTTAATGAGATTGAACCAAAAAATCAACAACAGTAAACAAAACATTTTGTGTAATTCTTTCACAAACTTTGAAATGAAAGTAAAAATATAAAACACACATTTTATAATTATTAAAGTATTTCAAGTATTTATTTTTTAAACCCACATATTTTTATTGAAATATATCTCAAAATAAAAGCCCACAAACTCAAAGATACAGTTTTCCAATACAAAATGTATTTAAAATTTGAATTTGAAACATAAGTTTTTAAAAACTACCCAACGATGTGAAAGGTTTAGAGATACCTTGAATATCTCTAGTGCCAAACTTGCCATACTATAAGCTCTACTGAACGCGCTAGCAAGACAAATGCTCAAAGTCTTATCGAATTACATCTTCGGAGATGAAGATGAAGTGGTATCTGAGAAAGATTACGGACGAGGACGGAGAGAGAAAAGTTGGATTTGGGTTGACATCTGCTCCAATTTAGAACAATGGATTCAACGCTTCAAAAAGCTAACATAAAAATGTGTCACAACAACAAGATGAATAATGTTAAGAAAAACTTAGTTCCTCAACGAACGAATGACACTTGACTCTCGGTCTAACGATAAGACATCGAACAGTATGAAGAACACGAGGGAAAACCCGTAGTTGGAGGAAGGAAATTTGATCTCCGTTGCTGGAAGCGTCACTTGAGCGGTAGAATCAAAAGAGAGGACTTTGTGGAATGCAGGAACGGTGCAGATACGGAACGTCAGGAATGGAAGAATATAATGTGTGAAAGGACTGAGTAATAAAACTATGGGTTCAGATAAAGGTCGACTTAAATTCTCTCTTTCACGTCATACAAACGCCTACCACGCGTTACAAAGGGACCGGGGATGGGCCAGTGTCAGGAAACAAGGGGTCAGAGTGGAATTGAGGTGAACGAGGAGCAGAGGCGGCAAGGAGATAATGACTTGATGCGAGGGCGAAGGGGGATATGGAGGTCAGGAGATGGCTGAAGTGATGGCAGAGGCGGAATCGGGGGGATTGAAAGGGGTGAGAGAGGTGAATAAAAGCGGGGTCGAAGATGGAGTTCCAGAAGGCGGTCAGATGTGGGTATTAGGTGAGGTCAAATGCCGGAAGAAAGGTAGGATCAAAAGTGGCATTGAAAGCGGGAGCAGAGGTCGTATTAGAAGGGACATTAGAGTTATCAGAAGCGGGTTAGGAAGCGAAATTGGAAGCGGGTTTGGTTGATTGAACAACAGAAACGCGTTGTCTCAAAAAAGCTGATTTTTTTTAGAATGGTTTCAAAATAAATTATTAAATCAAGTTTCTGAAGTACGAATAACTTATTATGCCTAAAAATAACCTACTGAAGGAAGGAACTATACATAAAATTTCACTTTGAATAATGTAACTCATACTTTTTCCTGCTGGGGTTGTGAGGGCACATCATCTGTTACGGTCTTTAGTCACTTGAGTGTAGTGAATGGTTTTTTTTTCAGTGAAGTGGCAGTTGTCCTCCCCTAGGTGGTCAGATCCGGCGCCGATCTCTACGCGGCTAGCGGATGATTTTTTCCTATAGTTATTTCTCCCACCAGGGAACCGCCTCAACCACAACACGCTCTAACTTGCTGACTGGGTAAGACAAGGAAGAGGAAGGAAGGATCACTTGCGGTCGTTTGTCTGCTTGTTGAAGTACAAATCCTGCAATCGCCTCATATTGATAAGAAAATGCACGTAAAACTATAGATAAGAGCGGCATCAGCTACAATTCTCGTCCACACAGCGCCTGAAATCAACCTAGCTTCCTAGCTCGTGTTTCAAGACCTCCACCATCGACAATCGAACCCTAGGACCTCCAGGTCGGAGTCGCTGCAGGGGCTCTGGAGTAAACTCAGTCTGTTGAAAGCGGGGGAAAATGTGGAGACGCAGGTGGGAGGATAAGTGGGATTGAAGGCGAGGTTACAAGTTTAGCCAGAGGCGGGCACAAAGGCGAGGTGAACGTACAGCGGCAGCGCGCAGCGAAGGTGTGGCACCGGGATGGGGGGGGGGTAATGCACGCGGGAGCGGGCGGACCAGAGCGTGGTGATCAGGGAGCAGGGGACGGAGGGGAGAGGGGTGATGGGGCTAGGACGTTGGGGGAGGAGCGAGGAGTAATGGGGCGATGGGGAGTGGGGTGAGGGATGAGGGGCGAGTAGCGAGGGGGCAAGGGGTGATGGGAAGGGGCGAGGTGGAGGGGGCACGGGCGAGGGCGCGGGGCGCTCACCCGTGTAGACGGCGGCGAGCGGCGTGCGCACTCCGCTGGCCTGGCTGACGGCGCTACAGCTGAAGGAGCCGGCCACGGGCGCCGACCTGAAGAAGGAGGCCACGAGGTTGCAGGCACCCAGCGCCAGCATCTCCTGCGACGCGTCCACCACGCGCCCGCGCGCTGCAAAAACACACCTTCCTTAACTCCTATCCAAATAACAGAGAAGCCCTTCTAAGTAGCCTGATAGCCAACCGGGTATTACTGACTCATTGGCTAATTTAGCAGAGAAATTATACTTGTATTTCAATCTACGCCAGCGATGGCAGATCTTACCACAGTAATGGAATCGTGCCATAATATAAACCTTTTAAAAAAACGTATCATTATACAGCCTCTGTCCAGGAAGTTTGGTGAATATATCTGTATTGCGAATAGATTGTTGGTTTACCTGAAATAGCCGTTACTGTCCTTCGAAGCAATTCCCTTTGATGGTACTGAACTTCTGAGAATGTCTGTACAAGTTTTGGAAACTCCTGATGTACTCACCGTTATGGATAGCCTTCAGCTGGGTCGTAATATGATGTGTGAAATGTCCGAAAACTTCTGGTCCTTCAGGGGTGATTTCAATTCGGATAGCAAGAAAGAGCCCGAGGGAGACAAGACTGGGGTGTACGGTGGGTGATTGAGAGATACAAATACAACTCCCCTGTTTGCACGAACAGCTGCACAACAAAGGCCGGATGGCCAGGCCTTTTGCGTTCCGGCCATATTGTGGGGCATTTTCCACAGTGTCTCGTCCTTCACGGACGCGTTTAAACCACTTATAACCACACTTCAAGGTGATAGCGCGTGAATTACTTTTCTAACACGTGGTGTAGCCAGAATCTATGTTTTGTGGGTCCTTGATAGTGAAAAATCGATTGACTTCAAAACGTGTCTCGCTTAATAAAAAGTTAATAATAATAATAATAATAATAATAATAATAATAATAATAATAATAATAATAATAAAAATAGTAATAATAATAATGACAATAACTCGACCGAGAGAGTACACAACCTTGTGGTTGGTGGTGGAGCTGGATAACCTTCATGAGCATGACATCTACGTCAGCGGTAGCCTAGATACTGGTAGGCCTCCTTTGATAAATATGATGAAAGGTGAGGGGTCAGACGAAAAAGTACTCCAGACAACAGCATCAATAGCATCTTCGAAGAAGAAAGGAGGATTGATGAAGATGGCGGAAGAGGCTCCTCGAACAAAACCGCAGTATCGGATCCGCAAAGGGTGGCTGGAGCGTCTGCCTCCATGTTAGCTGCAGCCACAGCGGGAAGTTAGTAGAAAGGGAAGGGTAATGAACATTTGGACTTCCTGTTATCGGCCCATTGAGGGTATAGGAGAGAAACTGATTTGGCACACCAGGCCAACGATTACAGTGGAGGCTCGAACTATGCTTTAGCCTGTAAATAAGGCTGCCTTCAGCAGTCAGTAAAAATCTGTGGGGTTTTGTAATACCGACTGGCCCCACTGCAGGGCCCTGCACAGGGCGATGTCCCGAGACTACTGTGGATTGCAGTAAAGTATGACAGGAAATAACCAATAGGTTAAGTGTGATCTGAAAACTCGAACATTCTTGCTCAGGAACTTCCCCCATACCCAATTATAAAAATGGATAGAACAAGAAATGAAATGAATCTTGAATGAAACGTGCCTTGTTCTACCAATGCCCTATATCTGTTCAGAAACAGAGCCAGTCACTGCTGGGCGTCGTGCTCTCCCAGGGATGTTCGTTCCAGGGACCCAGAGTCGGCAGTAGCTCGAAGTCATCGTCAGATAAGAACACGGGATGAATTGAAGCAGGTGATGTTGTGCTTATATTGAGGCATACTGCAAAAAATGAGGGCTGTGAAATATGAAATGAATATGAAAAATGAGGCCTGGGAAAGTTTTCAAGCTATGGAGGGAGCGGAAGTCAGATATGCAACCTACCCTAGATTCAAAGAAGCTTGCCAGTCAACGACGATACATACTCAGCGATGGGAAATTCACAGCAGATAAACTATGTCATTCAGAGAAATGCGGAGTATGTTTTTTGATCGAATTCTCCACATGTCGAAGATGTACAATTTGAAAACAGTGCTCCTGTTGAAGGTTATTTGTTTCCAATGCAAATCTGTCAGTGGTGAAAATTCATCTGGTAATGAATCACATCGACAGTCAACGGCGAATCAGAAACAGCGAATATAGTGTTACGTACTAGTGATCGAACCTTGTGACAGCTATTTGGGGACGCGTGGTAAGGGATTAGCCTCGCCACATGAGGGAGAGAAGGTTTTTTTCCTAACAGCAAGCATGGATTTTTAAGACAGGAGATCTATTGATTTAATCCTAGGCTTATTGAGTTTTGCAAGGCTAGTATAAAGTTGTGGAGTACCAGGTTACTAATATACAGCGGAAAGGAAGCAGTAGAAACAAGTAGTACTTATTTAATACAATTATTATTGGTATTTTTCAAGGAGCATCGCTATTCCCTCTTCTGATTAGCATTATTTTGATCCCATTTTCTAGACGGGTGTCACACACTGACTTTATTTTAAGCACCATGATTGTGAAAGATCAGTATTGTTTGTTTTACATGGATTTGCACATTTGTTTTACATGGATGATCTTAGTGTTTGCTAAGAATGAATCGATTCTATCTCAAATGCTGTCTGTCATGAATTACATAAAAAACGACACCTGCAAGAGGTATGATCTTGACAAGTGTTCAAAAATCAATTTAAAGGGAGGCCAAGTGACAACGTCAGAGAGCATTGATATTGATATGCACACTGTGATACAAGATCTTGAGCCAGGTAAATCGCACATATATGTGGACATTGAAGAATGTGAGAACATCTCAAACGTCAGAGGGAAAAGAGGGAATTCGTAGGTGGTATTACGGAAGAGGGAGACTTGTCTAGCAGTCAGCTCTGAACTCTAGGAATAAAATATCTGCAATTGGCGTACCTGAAGTCGAGTACAGTTTCGGGATAGTGAACTGGAGTGAGCAAGAAATTCGAATCATGTATCGAAAAACCAGAAAACTGCTCACAGTGCATCATGTCATCCACCCACGAGTTGATGTACGTAGACATTATGTGTCACGTAAGGAAGGAGGAAGAGGTCTCAGACAAGTTGAAGCCTCCTTTCACAACGCAAGAGTCGGGATGGGAAAGTATGTCATCATTATGACCAACTAATGAGGCACGTTATTAAATCCGATCGAAGAATGGGAAACAGAGGCATTGTTAGTTTAGCAAGAAACATTGCGACGAAAATTATTCAAGACACGCAGAATAACACAGATACTGAACTTCTGATGCTTTTAAACATAAAATGTGAGACACAAAAATGTTAAAGAAATAATGGAGAGACAAAGCACTCCATGGACAGTACCTTAAAAGAATGGACAAAAGAATGGATCAATTAAGATAAATCATTTATGTGGCTTAAAAGTGAAAGAATGAAGCCGGAATCAGAAGCAGCTCTAATAGCTGCTACCATTGCTGCTGAAGACCACTACATTTTAATAAAGATGTTCTCAAAATTTCCCAAGATGATAAATGTCGCATTTTTCAGGAACAAGTAGAACCCTTGATTATATCTTCTCATTTTGTCCAATTCTAGCAAAGAGCGAATCATTGAAAAGGCACGACAGGGTTTGTAGGTATCTCCACTAGCAGATCTATACCAGCCTCGAAGTTTCAAGAGTATTAGTCAGGATACATTCTTAGTATCAAGGTAGCCAGCGAAGTCGGAGAGTCGACCCAAATACTCCAAATAAATACATATATACAAAATATTTTTATTCAAATTATACACATGTGGTATAAAAGTGAAAATAAAATCAACGTTTGAACAACGCCCTGTTACCTTCAAAAGATTAAAATTGATAGTAATATTGCTGTGAAATAAATCTAAGAAATTATTTCATGCATTAAAGATAATTTAAAATAGTAGTTTTCGTAACAAGGACGTGAAACAGGTGATTCACGCATCAGTTCAGTTTGTCGCCCGAGCGTAGCTTGAGACGAGTGCGCGAATTACCTCGCTCTCGTGCTGTGTATACTGTTTTTTAACACGCCGCGAGCAAAATGCGATGCCTCAAGTAAAGTAATATCTATTAAATATCAAATAACTAGAAACTTGTACAAAAGTAAATGGATTCCAGTCAGTGCCATAACACTATTGTTCGTAAATAATAAACAAAGACGTCGTCAAGACGAAAGACAAATGCGAATCGTTACAGATGTTTTGCACACGCTTCGCAATGTTTCGCACACTGTGAAAAAGATGGTCAATCCGTACACGGAAAACAAGCACGAAAAACTCCATTTAGTGCATGGCGAGTTAAAATATAATTTTCTTATTCGATAAAATACTAGCCTAAACTTAATGAAAAGTTATAAATACACAGAAAACTAAATATCAGTAAAGAGCAATCTTAAAATTAAAGCATATATTATTATACTAAGACGATGAACCGATCAGCCAACATGAACAAACTTGAACGCTTGTACTGGATAAAATGATGTAGATCTGTAAAACACGCGCTTAGAATGACATTTACACAAAAGTCATATTTACCACGTCCTTTGTTATCAAATTGTGGAATAATAGCCCAGTACTTACCGAATGCCTTGGCGATGGCGACGTTGCCGAGGATGGAGACGATGGGGACGGAGACAATGGCCGAGCCCAAGTGCTCGCACAGCTCCGGGAAGGAGAAGGTGCGGTTCTGGTAGGTGGTGGTGAAGGGCGGCGCTTGCACAGGAGGCAGCCCCGGATGAACGGTCCCTAAAAAGCCCTGCGATTGTACCCTTGATGCTGCCTCATAAATGAGACTCATCATGTAGAATTTCATGAAATGATAATCATGTTAGGTGGAACTGTAAAATCAATAGAAGTTTAATTTGAGAGGGAAAGCTTGTTAATGAGATGGCATCATGAATAAGAAATAAATAAGCGTAGCTTTTTTGTTACTTGTATCGAAAAAACAAACATTTTTTAATATTTCAAAGAACCATGCATCTGAAGTTAGAAAGTACAAGATAGTAAAATATTACTTCTCAAGGAGATGAAAGATTTCTTGATCTTCAAAGGCATATTCTTAAAAAGCAAGATTTGTTTTGACAACACTACATTTAATGAACGATATTTAAGAGCAAAATTTAAGAGTTTGGGGCCATTAAGGCATCCTTTTTTTTAAATCCTGCCAAAAAGCGCGGATCAAGATGAATAAATATACAATACATAATAAATAAAAAATGGAAAAAAATAATGAATTAGAGAATGGAAGAGAGTGGGAGAATGAGTCAGAGGAGATTGATACTTGTCGAGATTAAGATATCCAGATATCCAGGGAAAGGGAGACAGAGATGCAGTGATATATATATATATAT